GCAAATTGATCATCGGTTGTGGTTTCATTTTTGCTCAGACCGAATATTCTTTAATAATAAAATATATCTTCTTTAGAGTCTGTCGTAAAATACAGTCACGGATGCCCTTTAATTTCCAATGCTGCCATACAATATGATTTCTCATTTTTATGCAGAATTAGCCAACATTTGTGGCTGAAAATAAATCAGGCAGAATCATAAAAATCCGTTTTATTTTCTTTTCAGACTCAAAGAGAAAAACGAAAATGATTAAATGCATTATATTGCTTTGTGTTTGGTTGTTGGTCACAATGGGGTTGACGTGCTAATTGATCAAAATGAACGTAAGTTAAACAATTACGGCTAAATGCGTTGCAAAAAAAAAAAAGGATAAAAAGGATTCAGAAATAGAAATCTGTATTTTACAAAAATGTTTTTGCAAACTGTAAATTTCATCGACTAATTTCAGAACCACCTGATCCACCCACACTCTCAAAACGCACTCCCATATATTTGAAACACGTTGTATTTTGGCTTTCTCCTAGCTCTCCAGATGTGCTCCGCTCCAGTGCAGGCCTCCTGCAGTGTGTCTGTATCTGTACAGTCGCTGCCCTCTAACCTCTTCATATTCCTGCCATCGGTAGCTGTGGCGCAGCGCCCGTCTGCCTCTGACAGCATGTTAACAACACTGAGAAAGGCCCCAAAGAAACGTCTTGGATTAGCGGTCAGATTTCCCATTTCCCACAGACGCACAAGGTCCTGAACCCAATTAATGGCTAATAATTACCAAGGCAACTTCAGTATGACCGCTTCTGGGGACTTCATTAAAGGGAAGGGGGTGGCGGCCCGCTGTGGAGTGCCGCTGTAAACTAATACTTATAAGGGGAAATGAGGAGTTTGTAATTGATTAGCTGCTGGGATCTTGGGGAATTTGTTTTTATCGATCTCTCTGTGGAAAAAAAAAATCATTGTTGATGGAAATGACTGTTACTGTGTTCTTCATTTCTCTGGTCTGAGATGACAAAGCTGTGTGCGGGTCACCGGTCCCTCCTTCTTCCAGAGCGGTGTTCCCTGCGTGCATGAGCGCGTGCCTCCACGCAGCTCCCTGCGCCCCGCCGCAGCTAGTTACCATGTTTACTCTCCCATTACATCGACTGTGGCAGAATTACAGTTCGCAAATTTCCAATGCTCACAGCGCTCACAAAAGGGCCCTGCGGCTGTTTGATGTCCCCTCAGCCCACCTCATCCGCAGGCCGGACCGCGAGGTGCTCCGTTTCACATATCTAATGTGCGCTGATGTTATCTGCGCGTAACGTCTAATCCAAAGACCCGGAGCCTTTTCCACCGTGGATAAAGCTTGGGTTTCAGCGGCCTGTGTGTGTGTGTGTGTG